ATTATACCTGCTTTTTGTATCTCTGTCTCATCTCGGTTTTTTTGTAATGTGTAGCGTTTGTCTATATAGTATTATTATGCATTTTTGTTTCTTAACTACTATTAGAAAATATTGTTATATCGTAAATTCACAGATTTTTAAATATATATTTTAAAAAGTCAGAGAAAAGTTACACTTTTATCATATTTTCAATAGAATCTAATCTTACAAATATTACAAATGAGAAAGTTTAGATGGATGGATGAATGTTAGAGTTTGTAGCCTAAACGGATGAACGCATTTCGAGGAAACTGGCACAGATGTAGAAGATAGTATGGAAGAACACATAGGCTATTCATTTTTTTTTAAATTCCACGCGGATGAAGTCGCGGGCGAAAGCTTGTTCTAAATAATTTTAAATACGCATCACTATACTGAACTATTTTAAGATCAACGATTCATGGAGGAAGCACGTATTAAAAAAAAAACTTGAAGACAAATTTTAGATCTATCTTTAGTCTACAGTCAAATAAGTTCCTTGAAGTATGAAATCATACAAATATTATAAACGCAAAAGTTTAGATGGATGGATGTTTGTTAGAGTTTGTAGCCTAAACGGCTGAACGGATCTCAATGAAATTTGGCAATGATTAAGAGGATATTCTGGAAGAACTCATAGACTATTCACGTTTGTTTTTTTAATACCACATAGACGAGTCGCGGGCGAAAGCTTTTAACTAATATTATATCAAATTCAAATAGTTTGTGAGGTACGGAAGCAATCTGCGCGACAATGCGCCATTTCTCCCCCGGGATTGTGTCCCGTGGGAACACTAAATTATGGAACAACTATTAGGAGTAGCTTTTGTTATAACTCCCTCTAAATAACTATTGTTCTGTAAAGCATTTACACATTCTATATGATACATTTTACGACATCGCTATTATATGTTGTTAAGCAATAATAAAGCTAGCTTTTTGAAATAAACAAATATTTCCACGTGATTAAGACAGATGATCACAAGACTACAGAATAATTATTAGAAAAGTAGATAAAGAAGTTAAGATGGACGTGTGGGGTAACACGACTGGATAAGATACGAAAGTTTGAGAGTAGCCCCAGTGGTTGAGAAATTAAGGAGTAAATGGTATGGGCATGTTATGAGGAGCGATGAATCGCATGTAACAAGGACGATAGTTATGAGTGTGGAGGTTCACCGGTAGAAGTAGACCTAGAAAGAGATGGATGGATTGCGTGAAATGTGATATGATCAAGAAGGGAGTGACTGAGATGACGGATGATAGAGTTATTTGAAGGAAAAAACCCGGTGTGCCGACCCTACATGAGTAGGATAAGATAGGAGAGATGATGATGATGAGAAATACATAAGTCTTGCCCTTATGAAAATCTAAACTAATAAAAAAGAACCATAGTAATGTGCGATATTTTAATTAAGACAAAACGTCGTTACAAAGCGTATAAATCTACCAAGTTTATATTTCACAGCGTTGATTTTCTAGTCGATTATAAACAGTATTTGTTCGTACGGAACAAAAGGGAGTACAATTCATTTGGCATCTTCATTAAAAGGGTGCTGCGGATTAGCTTACGTTGAATTCCTACGTGAATTTTGAAAAGTCCCTATTTTATCTCAATTTAAAACAAAGTACTAGTACCTATAGTTTATTTTTTTACAGTTATGTAGTTTCTATGATGGCTCTGCTCTGGCATTTTTTGGCCTTTATTATTGTTAAAATAAATGATGATTTCATTACTGTGTCGACATTTCTTTTGTAAAATGATAGGACAGTAAAAATAAGAACATATTATGAGAAGCGAAAATGTGACCATATTTTCTAATAATCTTTGACAATAGGAGTTGAAAAAACAATATAAAAAATGTAGGAAACGTACATATCGCGTGTTCGAGAAGTTACGAAACATGCATGTCGGTGAATATTTTTACCACAAATTCCTTTCCCGGCGATGCACCGAATGTTCTTGTCGATATTATCATAATGAGATATTTAGTTCTTTTTAAAAATACTGGCATAAAACTTTGTTGCGGTAAAAAGTTTCTTATAATGTAAAAAAAAAGAAAGTGTTCCATTTTTAAATCTGGATGATCCAGCATTCTAATTATTATAAATGCGATAGTTTAGATGGATGGATGTTTGTTAGAGTTTGTAGCCAAAGCGGCTGAACGGATTTCGATGAAATTCGGTATAGAAGTAGAAGATAGTCTAGAATAACACATACTTAGGCTACTTACTTTTGTGGTTTTTAATTTCCACGCGGACGGAGTCGCTATTCTTTCATACAACAAGGACACTACTAGATCTAACTACCGCTTTTAACGAATATTCAAAGATAGGTTCACAATAATAAATTTTATTTCATTGTTATTCGTCTAATATACTCATTAAATTAGTATCATAATAATCATTAAGTTGGATAACGAATTCATCTCAGCAAAATTAGATGTCTGGGCTCGTGACAAATTGTACCTAAGGTCTATCTAATTGGGTTAGTGCTTTAGTATTCAGTTCTCGCACGTCGGAATTAATGTAGACTGTTTAGCAAAACATTGAATCATTATTATATGCTATTACTCTAAAATCTTAATAATACTATAAATGCGAAAGTTTAGATAGATAGATGTAGGTTTGTTAGAGTTTGTAGTCTAAATGGCTGAAGGAATTTTGATGAAATTTGACACATATGTGGAGAATAGTCTTGATAAACTTGATAACTTTTTTTCAATTTCTCACGGACGGAGTCGCAGGCGAAAGCTAGTATAACAATACTTTTTATGAGTTTGTTAGCATAACGTAATAAAGTATTGAACAAGACGCTAGGTTTTTCCAAATGTATTTTTGATAATTTAACTTTGAACATAGGTGAGGTAAGGTAAACACCCTTCGAGAGAGTGGTCACGACACTCAGGAATGAGAAAACGATCCGGAGAAAGAGAGAGAGAGAGGTAAATAAATTGTTGTTTTTCGAATTCTAGCGGTAATTCCCCGGATAGATGTACAGAATTTAAGTCATGATATCGGATAGATGGCAGCACAGAGCTCGTAAAGTAGCCGGATGATTTATCCCCTGCCAAGATGTAATACGATTTATAACTATTACGAATATGTAGAAAATGTTTTAAAGAGTTTATGAACGGTGTAATATTTCAATGCGATCGGATCATTTATGAATAACTACACTTGTGTAAAAATGTTCTTACGTTTTTCAAGTTTATTTTATAAGTTTCTTGGTACATGTGACTTCATACAAATATTATAAATGCTTAAATTTAGATGGATAAATGGATGTTTGTAGAATAAACAGATGAACCGATTTCGATGAAATTTGGTATAGATGTAGAGGATAGTCTGGAAGAACACAAAGGCTACTCACTTTTGTTTTTAATTCCGCACGGACGGAGTCACGGGCGAAAGCTAGTTACATGTAATATTAGCTTTCATATGATATTATACCAGATTTCATGGAAATCAGTTCAGCCGTTTAGGCTAGAAACTCTAACAAACATCCATCCATCTAAACTTTCGCATTTATAATATTAAGTATGATTATTGTATCAAGTTTAAAGTTCTCTAAGTATTAAAAAATATCTCATTCTTTCTGTATAAGCTAAACAAACACATTTTTTATCTTAATACAATGGCCATTGTAGTAAAATGTTTGCATTTTACAGATAAAATAATATTTACCTTATAACGTTGTTGGAATTTTTGTAAATGCCAATGAGTTTTAAATTTTCTGCTAAAGAAATGATTGAAACCACATATATAATCTGTAAACAACTCTTATTCCAATAAAGGAATTTATTCTTAATCTTACTAATATTATAAATGCAAAAGTTTTATGGATGGATGTTAGAGTTTTTAACCTAAACTGCGTGAGTTCGCATGCTACTTATCGGATTTTATGCCTAAATTTGGCATAAAATCTTAATTAGGATATCTCTGTGACGTAAACGTATTTATTATAGTGAATTTACGAATAAACGAAGCCAAAAAATTTAAATAAAAACCATCCGGTTTTTAGGATCTAACACATTGTTTAAATACAACAAAACATTAATCGTGGTAAGAAACCAGTATACTAACATTACATTTGTAAAAACCACGAGAGTTTAAAGTTACATTTTTTTAGTTGGTATAAAGCAATAAAACAGCTATTTTGAGTATATTTTAAAGTCATTTATCAATAGAAAACGGTGTCAATGTCACGACAAATAAAATAAATCTTCAAATTGATGACATCACGTTACAATACGTTAAAAACATTACAATGTTTTTCGTTGTTTTATCAAATAGTTTGTATAATATTTGGACATAGGCCAAATAATCGAATAAAGGGAAGTCGAAGCGTTTAATATTTAGTTTCTTGCTCTGATACTGTTTCGATGAGCGATTCTCGATATACTGACCTTGAATTTAAAACTACGATATCGAGTTGTGTCATAATTTATTTTTAGACAATCTTTACTATTTGAATAAAACTGTCTTATTAGTAAAAGATTTCTAACAGACGATTTCGTTGTTTTATAGTCGTGGAGAAAAGTTTGAAATTTTAAATATACCAAAGTTTAAACTACAAAACTGTATACATACAAAGTTTAATCAAAAGAAATTAATGGTTTATTAAAATTGTGTAATATCTTACGAGCACTAAAAACCAATGTTTATTCTGTCTTCGATGTTTGCTCATTGCGGTGGCCTCTTGATTCATATTTATTTTTGTAGGTGCTAAATTTTTACATACTCGGATACACTAATTTGAAAATAACAAACTTAGATATAACTGACTTAGCGTAAGTTTGTGATGTTCCTTATAAGAAGTTTTTGAACTCAAAGGGAAAAAAACTACCTTTTAAAATTACACAAACACTAGGCAGAGATATTCAAAACTTGTTTGATCTAGAATCTAGAAGTTGATACTGAACCGTGTTATCAAAGTTTGCAAACAGATAAGACGTGATGCATAAGGAATTCGCACTAACCTTTTTACAGTTTGCGACTGAGTCACCAAAGATTAACGTTTCCAATTTAAAACCACATTACATCCATTGAGTTCACTTTGCAATAACGTAACACAGGACGGAACGCTCGTTGAGCACATAACATCACATTTTGCACTTGCCGGAGAAAAACAATAAAAAAACCAGAGCGGATCCAGTTAGCGGGAGCCGTTGTACCCTTTGGGACACGGTTACACGTGAACACAAAAACGAGTCGTAGTTTATTTCAAAAATTGCGTGCGTCGATGACTACGCGCCAAGCAATCTCTCTCGACCCGACACGACCGTACTCGACGCGAGCGGCCGAACGACTGAATCAGGGGATCGAATGAACGGATGGAAGGAGTGAACGCATTCAGCGCATCGTGCCGCGTGCGTTTGCGAACCCTGGCATAAGAAATGTTATTTTTTAACAAATAGCGTACCATGACATAGAAAAATTATGACAGTCGTATGTAAACAAACGTGTTTACTTTGTTGAAACATAACGTCAATACTTAATATAATAAAGGGTAAACATACACTACTTCGTGGTGTAGGATGTCATATTTTCGAATAATTCTTTATACTACTATATATTTGACGCTATTAAACTTAAGGGAGTAAATAAATTGGACAAAACCTTCACGTGTAAACCATAAACTACAAGTTGCTAACATTAAGGAAGCAAGGTTATTATGGTATCTGTAATTGTGACATTTGACAAATGTAACCAATAAAATAAAGTTTTTATAATTTCATGCGGATGAAGCCGCACATGAACAGCTAGTTGTTTAATATTTTGTACGCAAACTGTAGCACATTACTAATTTGCTACTCAATCTGGAATTTTCTAGATGTTCTTCGATCATTGCTTTATGTAAGTTGGGATAGTACAAATTTGTTGTGAACGTCCCAGTAATAGCGACGACAGTATGTCCTTAACCGTGAAATGGCCACGTGCGCGGATCGCTTTTACTGCATTTCTATAATGAATTGAAAACTGACCGCTGGTTTTTAATAGTTACAGTGTTTTTTGCTGGAAATAGGCATTAGTACATTATGGTTTATAAAGTCTTTCTTGAAGGAGTTTAGATTGAATAAAGCGTTTCTGGTCAAATATTGATGAATTTAATTATTATAATAAAAAAGATTCCCTAATATAAATTAACAGAATTAAAAATGCGAATCAGTAACCTTCAAAAATTAACGATTTTCTTCGCTCCGTTTTTCCCGAGGTGTCAATTATTGGAAATTAGCAATTAAATTACGCTACTTTGGACTTTATGGGGAAAAAGGAAAAATGTTTTTCTTTTTATTTTTAGAATTCTCTTCTTGAAAACGGCTTCTTTGAAGAAATATTACTATACACATAGCTATGTGAAAATGCTTAGAGCGGTAAAACTGTAGTAATTTATGAATACCTAAATGTCGTGTCTAGATGTTTTTCTATTGCCAATAATGAATAAGTTTTTTATTTAAATCCATAATTAAAAATAAATTAAAAAAGCGTTTTAGAAAACAGTACTTACATGTTTTTAGATCTTTTTTTTTTTAATTCAAACGTAAATTATTTGTTTTTCATTGATCTTTTCAATTTGTATAATGATCGTTCAATTCCTTTTTTTTTTATACTAGTAATAAATCAAAAAGGCGAAATGTAAGATAAATTCGGTCCCAGATCAGATTTCGGCACAATGGGATCTGTGGACGAAACTCGGTAGACTTCCGGCGAACTCGTATTGTCCACTATTGTGATTGATTTATTGCTATCGAGTTACCTCGGCTCCTGTGAAGCTTTGTTTACTATAAATGTTACCTGAGATCACGTGACATTCGAAAATCATAAATTTATTTTGTTTCCGTGATTGATTTGTGTTTTCACTGTGTACAAGTTATGGGCGTCACAGCCATGTTATGCTTTAATAAATTATAGTCTTTACCTCTTATGTTTTCTTCTAATCTGCACAGAATAACCTTACCAATAACAGCGTTTTTCCATGGATCAACACTCGCCACTACCAATATAGCCGTCGTGTCGTCGAGCCAATGCAACACCCTTATTTTGACATCTGATTACTGTCCGATTATTAACATAACAAGTAGAATTCCGACATTTTAAAACCATGATATAAATATTTAAATAATGTGTTGGATCACAATTACAAAGTTTATATTGTTATTTTAAATAAAGGCAAATGGTATTGATTTATAGCACAGACTAAATAACGTTTAAGAATACAGAATACATCAAAATTGTTAAAAAGCTAACAAAGTACATGATTTTTAACTATAAGTATACGTATAACAGTAGTGGGTTACAGCGCGTTTCAGTGGTGGGTTTCACCGATGAGTGTGTATGCATAATTTTAGTCCTTATTTCGTTCTCATTCTCTTCATAATGTTATGAGGGATGGGAAGGAGTAGATTTGACTGAGGAGGAAATGCATGAGACATCCCTAGTTGTTACGTCTTCTGTCGATTAAAGTTAGACAACACCTCTCCAAAAACAAAGATCTATGATGAAAAAATAGTTTAGTGGTTGCTATATGGTAAAACTGCTTTTTTTAGTACTGTTGTTCGCGACTTTGCCCGCGTGTAAAATAAAGCCTATGTTACTGGCTGATAACGTATCTTTTTTATAGTGAAAAAATTTTTGAAATCGACCCAGACTTTTTTTCAATCCATACAGAAATACAATAACAATTGTTTCCTTTATATAATTTAAAATATAGATTTTACAATTTATTATTACAGCTAACATAAATAAATTGTATATTTATTTGCTTAATTGCAATATTATTAACCTCATGCGGGAATGTACTGCAGCCCGGTCATAACCGGACACGAAAGTGCACCGTTTTACAAAGATTTTATTTTTTAAAATCTGCATGGATAGCGGGCGGTCGTAAAGTTTTTTGTGTTGCTTAAATATCTTTCAGCGCTTAAAAGCACTCCGCGTTTCATATACGGTGTATTACATTTCCTTTGTGCGGAACGTTGTGCCGTGGTAATTATAATGAAAGAATTTCTGTACAATAATTGTTATAAGCCACTCGTAAACATTTAAATTTAAAGATATGTTACTTTAAAGGAGTTTAATAATGTACTCGTATTTACAACTTTAATGGCTTTACTACTACTGGCTGATAACAATCCAACGTGTCAAACATGTGATTGAAATATCGGATTTATTTTATCTGATAGTGACGTCATTTTTAAGCAATCTGAGCTTCTATCAGCCAGTGGTGGGACAGGCCCTAACTGTTATAAAGTTGAATTAAACTAACGTTATTAAGACATCTATTAATTTTGGATACTACCCGATTTGAAATTAACGACTTGTGTTTGTTTCATAAATGTTTTTTTTATAACATAAGGTGGCAAACGAGCAAGCGGCCACCTGAATCCACTAAAATGGCGAAGCGACCGCTGCCCATAGACATCCGCAATTGCAGATTCGTTGCCTACCCTTATACGACGGAGGAGGAGACGCACATAAAGAGGATATTTCCCCTTCCTATGCATCTCCTCCACTGTCAAATCCACTTCCCCTTCCCATCCTCTCCTTATAAGAAAAGGGTGGTAAAGGTATTTTAACGCATAATGCGATTTTTCTATTTATAATGTTTTTACGAGGTTTTCTTTCTTTAATACTAGTGTGGGCGTCGTATAAATTTTAGCCGCGCTTTATTTTTGTTTAATACGTCGTATAATATTCCAATAAATATGCGGGTAAAGTTATAATGAAAATTTGATCTCACTTGTATGAGAAAAGAAGTTTTGTTCATAAATCACGTCAGTTTCAATGTAAAGGTAACACGGGCTCTGATGTACTGAAATGAGTACACACACAGCTTGTATACGCAGAATTATTACTAAGAGAGGTCCTTAGTTTTGATATACTGCATTTTTACTACCGAACTGTTAAACAGTCTGTCTAATACTGGGTTGCTGAAGTTTCCAATTATTTTATCGGTATCTAGCGATTATTTGTATTAGGTTGATCTAAGTTACAACAGAGTAGTGCCTGCTTTAACATCTTAGCACTGCAGGGCCGGCACGCCCGGTGTAATACCACGACCACACAGAAGACAGCCGTGAAATGGAACCATTGCCGTGTTTCGTCTGATGAGTGTGGTGCCGGAGGCCTAATTTAAGTCCCTTTCTCTTTACCACCCTTTTCTTATAAGGAGAGGATGGGAAGGGGAAGTGGATTTGATGGTGGAGGAGATGCATAGGAAGGGAATATATCCTCCTTATGTGCGTCTCCTCCTCCGTCGTATAAGGGTAGGCAACTCATCTGCAATTGCGGATGTCTATGGGCAGCGGTCGCTTCGCCATTTTGGCGGGTTCAGGTGGGCGCTTGCTCGTTTGCCACCTTTTGTTATAAAAAATAACAGTTCGGAGACGCATTTCATAAACAACAACTAACCAATGGTTAAATGAAACCGGCCATTGTTATTGACTCATATTTGTTTCTTCCCGATTCATTGATTTCTTTTTTTACTAATGAGCTCTGTCTAAAAATGTCATTTTTGACAAAACATATTTACGCAAATTGTTGCACTATTATCTCGACTCGGATGCATTTACTTTGTATTTCTGTAGACGTATGACTTGTGTTAAAATATTTTTTGTCTCTCTTTTCTTAAAACAAATGAATGGGATAGCTATATCTTTTATAGAAGAGTTTTGTACAACGGAAACCTAGAGTTAACTATGTTCATAGCAGTAACCAGCTTCCATATTCCTATTCTTTATCTAGTTGTGAATCTATGCAACCTATTATATTAAAACTTCTTTGTTAGAATGAAAATATGTTCATTGTTGTCGAGAACATATAATTATAAATATTGCATTAAGAAATAACCTTTTATGAATCTTTATTTTTCCTGTGTAATTGTCAAGAATGTTTAAATTAAAACAATTACTATGTTCATAAAGAACTTAGGTTTTAATACAAAACTAAATTATTTAATTATCTTTTTACAGATTTAAGAAAAAAAAGAGATACTTGGCTGTTTTCTCGGAACATTATAAAACAAAAAAAAAAGATTAACACTGTTCCTTATTTAAAAAATGGAGTATCTTAAGTTACGTTAATTAACAATATGATACGTTGCATTGCTTCAACTTTGCAACGTTTTCGTTCGTTTGAATCCAAGATTCTTAAATTGGTTTACCACTGGCCACATGCGGGTGAACTGCCCATAAACAACGTAGGATTTAAAACGTCGCTATAAGAAATATCACCAAAACTATAAGAAATTAAATTTAATAATACCCGTATACTGGTTTGGTTTGGCTTCTTGAATTTTGTATTTC